TGGGCGCCCCGCGGGCTGCTGGCCGTGCCGCCGCCGCCCGGGCCGCTGCTGCCGCCGCTGCTGGCCGGGCTGAAGACCAAGACGGCGCTGAAGAGGCGCTGCAAGGACTGCTACATGGTGCGGCGGCGCGGGCGGCTCTACGTGTACTGCAAGAGCAACCCGCGGCACAAGCAGCGCAAGGGATAGCCTGAATGTCCGCCGCCGGACCCCGCAGGACACGGAGCTGGCGCTGCCGGCCCGGAGCTCCCCCGCTGCCCGTGTCCCTGTCACCGCGCTGCCCCGCCGCCTCCGGGAGCTGCCTGCTGGCGACACGAGTCGCAAAATGGTGTGTGTGTGTCAGTGTTTCGTCTTGCCGCACACCTGGAGCGAGGTGCGATCCTGACGGAACTTGCTAGAACTTAAGGCCGTGGATGCGGAGGACTGAAGTGGGAAACAACAGCCTTCAGGAGCTCTTGTCATCTTAGTCGTGAAGCCTTAAAATCACCGCGCTGTTAAATTAGTAAGGGGGAATCTGAATCATTGGACTCTTGAGGTCCATTTGGGTTTAATTAAAGTAAAATGAAAATAAACTCCATTGGTGTTCATTATTACACTATGCCTTGTTTTTTTTAACTTAGACACCACTTCTCCCTCCAGATGTTGATAACAGAGCCATAGTTTCAAGCTCAGGTGGGCTCTCAAGTAGCAAATGGTATTAAATATATTATATTGAAAGATAGTGTTCTAGCTTTTGGCTTGGTTCATAGGTGAGGTAGAAATTTCTTTTTAAGCGTTGAGTTGCAGCAGGCAAAATCCCATGTAGCCTCAGTAATGCCAGTGTAAACCATTGTTGCTTATCACTGGTTTTGAAAGGAGATGGTGGTATTTTATTCACTGTAAAAGTAATAAACACTTTTTAAAGTTCTAGTGTCCTAAGTCCTCACTTAATGTTCACAGCCTCATTCATAATGTTCATAGCCTTATCTTCCCAAAGAAGTCTTCTCTGACACTGTACCTCCTATTCTTCAGTTTCCCAAATCTAAACCCAAAGAACTGAGGAATCATTATCTTTTGGGTGGAGATTGAGAACCATTTGGGGTAGGGTCTACATGAAGGCAATTAAAATAGCAATTTCAGATTCCACCTAACTTGCCTTCGGATTATGCAAAGCTTTAGGCTCACTCTCATAGGTCAGTGAGCCTTTAGAATTATTGGTTTTYTCTGATGTCCTTCAAAGCAACTCTCTCCTAACAGAGGTGTGGAGAGCATGACTGGGAGCAGTAATGCCTCAGAGGTCATGTAATTAAGGATAATGTTGAATGCAAACTGGTGGATTGGTATCCATGAATWAATTAGACTGCCAAAGTTGCTTTAGTCCCCAGTGGTGGTCCTCACACTTCTGAAYATGGCTGTGCTTCAGRCAGGAGTGTTCYRTCTTCTGAACTTCAAGTTCTTAASGAGAGGTKGTGTACTAAAGTTATGGACAACTATCCAGGTACTGCTACAAGTTTGCCAGAGTACTGTGAGAGAATGTCCCTGACTTAGAAGAGTTGAAATTGCTTGAGCATTGTATTTGGAATTGCTGTGATGTAGGATGCTATGATGACATGAAAACCTTTTCTGCCCAGTTATGATTCACCAACTTCACAATTGCAGTAACTTTTATAGTTAATTTCTCTGCTTGTAGACAGTGAGAATCTAAGCCTGGAAAGTGGTGGCTAAACATTCTAGATGCTGTAATTATTGACTGATTTTCCATATCTTGTGTGGTTTGTCTTTTCACTTATCCATTGCATTACTGGAAATGTGGGTTTGGAGAGAGAGAAGCAGGTTGGTTAACATACACATCCATCTTAGGGAGTGTTCAAAGGAATCCATGGCAATGAAGGGAGAGAGAAAAGGCTAGTTGAGCTTCATCTAACCAAAGAGACTGATTCAAATTGTGTAAAGCTCCTCAAAATCAAAGAATATAGAAGTAGTGGAAAACTTGCTGTAGTTCAAAAGGTTTGACTGAAATTTGGATGCTTGAGAAAAAGAAATTCTACTTTCTAAATACCCACAGCTTGTGCATSAAAGTAAAATGTAAGCAGAGAAAATTCTTGGGAAAATCGTGCACCTTTTACATGCTTTGACAGTTAAGCCGTCTTAGAAACTGAAGATTTTAAAAGCTCTGATTCTCCGTGTTAATGGTGCACGCTTCCAGGTGTGTGTTTTGTTCCAGCAGAAGAAAAGGCCTGTGTGCTGTGAACCTCTGTGATACCTTATGAGTTTGTACCTTATGGTGCACCTTTAAAGTAAGTAGTGTATGTATGTCCAAAATAAAAATGTGCTTTCCAGGCCTACCCACTTTTTTGTTGGATGGTAGCGACTGAGCTGTGGATTGGGCATGAGATGAAGTGAGAGTCTGTTGATTGGTTGTGATTTTTAGAAAAGATAGTTGGCAGCTGGTCTTCCTGCCTTCCAAAATRTTCATCCAGCCCCTTGGTCTGTCAGAAAAAGGCAGCTCACTGGTACAAGACAAATTGTGCTGGTGGGTCACTGGGGACGTATTCAAACAAGGGCTCACTTGCCAAGAGCGATGTCACATGGTTAAGAGTGTGAATTGCCAGGGTGGGGAGCAGCTGTCCTTCTCTGGCCAGACTTTGTGAATTCAGCGGTGTGCAGGACCCTGAGACAAGTTCACTCTGCCGGGCTGGTGTGAGATACAGTCTGCACTCAGAAATGGAATGAAATTTATGGCCAGGATTCCTGTGCAGAAGAGGGAGGCACAAATTACTGTTTTCATCTCCCCTYTTAGCCTAAGACAAGCTTTTAACAAGTGCTGAGTCAGCAGCTTATTTCAACAGTTTGCGAAGAGGAAAGTTATTTTTCATAATTAAAGCCTTTGAAAGTAGGGCTGTTGGTCAGAAACTTGAGATGTGAAGTAATTTGAATTCAAATGTTTATTATGCCTAAACAATTCATGTGTCATTGCCTGAACAGTCAGTTTGTGATACCTGGGGTGGAGCATTCCAAAGAATGGAACATTCATGGCCGTCACTGAAACAGCATATTTGATTGTGCTTAATAGATTTTGGAAAGAGGATTATAGGATTAGAAACTAGAAGGCTTTGAATTGTAATTGTATTCTGCCATAGACTTACTTTATAATTTGAAAAGGTAATTTTGCCTTTGTCTCAGTTTTTCCATCTGTTAGGCAGGAGTACTGAAYCTCACACTTGTAAGTACCATTTTTAGTTGATGTCTGCAAACTGTTACAGAGGTGTTTAAAAAAATGAGATTTTATAGCTTTCTGTAATTCGAATGACATGAGGAAGGTGATTATAGCTGGGGGAGACGCACATTTATTTTAGGTTTGTTTACGGCGGATGCAAAATGAGCAGGTGAAATAATGTCAGCCAGTAGCCTAGTGATTGGTAGCTGAGGGTTCACATCCTTCATTATAGACCTTCTGAATGTTGTGCTGCTTAAACAGCTGCTGGCAAAGGATGGACTACACAGCAACTACTGAACTTACCCAGGCCAAAAATTTAGTCCTGGAATACTAAAAATACCAATCTATATTAGTTCCATAATTGTATGTGTTTTCTGTTTTAATTTCTCATCCCTGAGACTGAAAGGGAGGGGAATGATAAGGAGAGCGTTGCTAGGACATAAAATGTTTTAGAGGGGGAAATAGTACCCAATAACACGGAAGGAGAATCACTGAAACACGGAAAACTGAAATAAGATTCAGGCTCCAAGTGCATTTTCAGCTTTTGCCTTCCTTCTGCTTACATGTCTAGGCTACCCCCTCCAGAAAGTCTTCATTCTTCTTTAAATCCCCACAGTAGAGTGGGAACGTGACAACTGATGTCTCCTGTGATTGTCTYCATTGTACAATTATGAAAATCATTTGCATTTGTGAGTGACTGAACTTGCTCAGCTCCTCAAAACTGTTCTAGGGAATGTGATTGTCAGATTCCTGATACGCAACAGGTAGAGATGTATTTAGGTCAACTGGAGGATAAATCTTAGAGCTCATGTATATTAATGACTGTCAGACTTTGTCTGCAGTTGTGTGTATGGGAATTACAGTATTGGTTGCTGAATTCAGGACAATAGCTCTTCAAAAATGACAGGTGAGGRAGAAGTCTTTAGGAATTACAGTACGGAGAAGCTGTGTCTGCTCAAATGGAGGCAGTACACTCTGAGGTTAGCTGACTGACAGGTGACTGTTCCAGATTCTGACACCACCACAGCCAGTTTCCCACACTCAAGTTAAAATAACAGCTATTTTGGAGTTATGTAGACACTATGTTGTTCTTCCAATTATTGTATTMTATCATGCACAAAAGCAAAAAAGAAAAAGCACAAGAAAGAGTGATGTTTCAGAGCAATTGCTAATGCTTTTGCCAAGTGYAAGCAACTGGAAGGTTTCCTGTATTTGTAGAGGTGAAGTAGGTGAAATAAAAAAATGTATAAATAAAATAAAAAGGTAAATACTTCTTAGCAATGAAAAAGAAAGTGAGAAGCTGGGCCTATTTCTCCTCTTTAACAGTTCAAACAGACACAACATGCTACTGCAGGCACTGTTCAGAGTATCTTCTGTGTGACACCAAGGTCTTTSTGTGGTTTCAGTGAACTCAATGCASCTGACACTAAGGTTTCTTTACCAAAGCTGGTTTATGTTTATCTGCAGCATCACCATAATTGAAAAGTTCTGAATCAGCAAGGGTGGACACACCTTGATACACACTGCTGAAAACTATCAAATTACTTTTAAAATGGAATTCCATCTAGTTTAATACAGTTGATTATACACTTAAATACTAGCATTCTTCCTATTACAGCTCACCAGCTTATTAATTTAGGCCTTGAAATCTGTACAATAGTTTAAATTGTGTGAGATCATGTACATGTTAGTCCCAGAGGCTGAGAAGGGGTTGGGTTCTTTCCAACAGTTTGAGACAGTTTAACTCACCACACTTGTGAGGGGGCATACCGTCACCTGTCCAGTCTCCTTTGCTCTCCAGGACTGGATTTATCTTCCTGTAGGAATAGGTGAACTGCCCATGAAGCTGTTATTGAACTGTCACACTTTACAGCCCCGTTTATTTAGGTAAGTGGTGGTGTTTTACTTCTATACCTCTGGGAGATAAACTGCAGCAGTTTCGTTATTGCTCCGTATCCCACTCACAGTGGAGGCAGCAATCTTTATAAGAGCTTCATCACAGTGAAGACATCGAATCTGATCTAAAAATGATGAAAGTTGGTTCAGAGAGAATATTGRCACTCAAGATGAAGCTGTCACTTGCTGGAGTTATCCACCTGCCTCCAGGAATGAAAAATTCACCATTCTGCCTAGAAGTTTGTGCATCAGACTTTGAAATCTGTTGTCTGCAAATATGAATAAAGTGTTGAAAGCAAGCAGTATTTTTCAAGAACCTACCTGTTCTTATGTGCCATATTGTTCAAAAGGGAGTAAAAAGTGAACTTTGTGAAGTTATTGGATCTAAAAATAGATTGGTTCCATTTAGTAGTTGAAAGTAAGCAAAAGAACAGGCAGGGAGTAATGCAAGCCTCCCTGTTGCATGATTAAATATTGGTGATGAACAATGCCTAAATGAGGAAAATACTTGGAGCAAGGAGTCCCAGAGTCTATATAGTTTTAAAAGCAACTCATGCTAGGAAGGCAATATTTATAAAATCAGTGACTGTAATATCTAAAATAGGTCACTTTCGTAGAATCTTCAGGCTTTAGATAAGAACTTTTGCATCTAGATTGCATGCCAAGTACTTTGATTTTGCTTTGAATGCTCATCCAGCTATTAAATAATAAATTTGGTTTATGTAATCTGGTCATTCATCCTGATCACCAATTGTGTAGTCACAAAAAAATAAACTTAGTGGATGTATTTAAGTGAATGAAAATACAGTAAATATGAAATGTTAACCTGGGACTTGATCTGTGTAGGCTGAAGAATTGTGTAGGACATGAAACCTAAAACAGGGCTGCTGCCAGAGACCACAGATCTGGG